TTTCCTATAACCATCATAAACCTCCACACCGTTCTCCCACAAAATCTTCAAATCTTCGATTAATGGTTCCAAGTATACGTCTATGTCATTTCCTGGTTGTTTAGGCCCAGAAATTAACATAGACAGCATCATGTACTTACGCTTCATACATAGCCATGGAGGTAGGTTATAAATCATAAGAATCACAGGCCATGTGCTATGCGAGATACTTTGAATACCGTGTGGGTTCATTCCATCAGTAGACAATGCCAAGCGAAGGTTTCTTGCTTCTTTTCCAAATTCAGGATAATCATTATCAATTTTCATCCACTGTGGAGAATCTGCCGGATGTCGAAATTTTCCATCAATAATTCTTTCATCTGAATGCCAAGTCAAGTGTCTTGAATCGGTTTCACTACGATACATCCGTCTAAATCTCAGGATTATAGGAAAATACCATAAGACTTTTGCCGGAGACAACTTTTTCTTATATCGAGGGGCACCGCATTTAGGACACTCATTTAACGATGCATACTCGTTTCGAAACAAAACGCAATCTTTTGGACACGCATGTATCTTATCATAGCTCATGCCAATGGAGTACAACATCTTTTTGGCCTCATACGTTCGATTGGGAAGAACATTATCCTCTGGTAGCATATCTTTCATAAGGGCTAATAACTCTGAAACTTTTATCCGACCATCCATTGCCGGCTTTTAAGTTGTACAACTTTAACACCGCAGACAATCTTGTGAATTTTGTACAACCATTATACAACGGTTTCTCTGCATCGCTTACCAACCTCTCGAACATTTTGGGACAATCGTTAAGATCTTCTTCAAGCGCTTCTGCAATTTCTTCGACTCGATCATAATCGTATGTATCTGTGCAATCATCATTTGAAACATAGGTCCTTGCATACCCCGATTCAACATTCCCGTTACTTTTCTCACCATGCATATTCCAACATGTATAACTCCTATCAATTCCATACCGAATTAAATGCGATGCCAACTGAACAGCGTCAACCCGGTTCCCATAACAGCAATACAAACAAGGACATGTCATACGACTGGGGTCTTTGGCATGATCAACAACAAACTTAACAAACTCGGAAACACCATTCTCGTAGTCTTTCGACAATCAATTGGAATACATCCATGTCTTATCCATATCAACTAATTAGTGCACAAAACAGTAGTATACTGCGTTTCTGTCAAAACGCAAAGTATACACGGAATGAATCCGTATCAAGAAAATGCAACATACGAAAGACAATTTAAGACAAATTCATCACAATATATACCAGTAATTTGAGGAAGAAAGTTACCTCTCAGATGTTTCGAACTCTAAGAAACGCGGAGAATGAGCGTCGTACGTCGAACTAGGCCGGGAAACGCTGCAAATTCATAGAATGTTATTCAATATTTCGGATCGATTGTCGAAAGATATATACTATTTTAACATAAAGGTTCACAATAAATGTCACATATATATTTTCAATGTTTGGGAAAGCTATGACAATAATACAACACAACTATTCACTCTAACAGAAAATTAACTAATTGTTCTCAATTTCATAACTAACATCAACACTTCAACATAATTTGAACACCGATATTAGCCAAACTCTATTATTCAAAATCAATACGGATAAAGTGACATCGACATCAAAATATCACTCGAGTTAAACTCAAACTTTATGGTATTGAAACAAAAAACTCACTCAAATTAATTCAAATCAAGTAGTATTTCTCATAAGAAAAATAGCACACAAAATACTCCTAAGAATGGTGCTGACATCATAAGATATCACCTAAAGCCCGCATTCTAATAGGAAACAAACTTCCATACACAGATGGAGATTATTTCAAACAAAATACCATAAAAAACAAAACAAAAACAATTTGAAATCAGATTAACACAATTACTATTCAGAATCTCATTCATATTCACACAACCATAAAAGAAAATACTAACACCGATATGAGTATCAATCATATTTAACACCAATAACAACAATGTTAGCAACAAGTCCTCATTCAGGAAAATAACATGGCTTACATTAAACTATTAACCTAATTTCATTATTTCTAATTCAACATTAACACCTTAAAACAAAATCAGCACCAACAGTATCATGAAAATACCAAAAGAAACTCAAAAGAAAGATGATAGTGATGCTTACAACGACTGGTGTCACGGTGAAGATTGTTGGCTGGAGCAGGAAGCCAGGATGGAGCTAGTTGTATGTTGTGACGAAAGAAGCACGGAGGGAGTACGTCGTCGCTGAATGGTGTGTTAGTTGTTGTTCGTGAACAGATAATGGAAGAAGAAACGGCGGCGACGACTGAAGAAGAGGGAAGAACGAACAGGAACAGGAACGGCGACAGGAATGAGAGAAATGAACGGTAACAGGAAGAAGAAATGAAGAAGACGAAGAAATGAACAAGTGAGGGCAAATTTCGTATTTAGGGAAACAACCTACGAAAGCGCTTCTAAAAGCGCTTTCTAAGACCCATATATGAGAGCGTTTCTGAGGTAAAAAGCGCTTTCGTATGTCCCCCATATAAGAGCGCTTTAGAAAGCGCTTTCGTAGGTCCCCCTTTCAGAGCGCTTTTCAAAAGCGCTTTTATAGGGCCACCTATAAGAGCGCTTTTCAAAAGTGCTTTCGTAGGTTAGATATTTCAAATACCTATGAAAGCGCTTTCTGAAAAGAGCTTTCGTAGGAAACCCTATAAAAGCGCTTTTTTAAGCGAATTTTTTTTAAAGGCTACGAAAGCGCTTTCTCTTAAAAGCGCTTTCGTAGATGCGCTGCCAAAAATTGTTTTTTTCGTAGTGCATGACACGTGACAGTGCCAACTATCAAAGGTGTTGACGTGGTATTCCACGTGGCTAAGGCTAGAAACATACTTGAGCCTATAAAAATCCATAGCTAATCCGTAGCTAAAATCGTAGCTAATTCGTAGTAAATTCTAGAATCAGAAAATTTAACGTATTGTCCATAACTCATAATTCTTCTTCCTAAGAATTGTATTTGAATCATTACAACAATTATACCCAACACAATTATAACTATAAAAATTGCAATTACAGGACTAATGAAGTCATGTTGTGATGCACCATTGTAGGATTGTTGCATGAAAGGAGGTTATTGTATATCAAAACAATATTGGATCATGTACATTGAGACAATGTGTAGATAAAGACAGGAAGATCATGGATTTGGTTTTTGGAGACTTCTTACAAATAGAACATGTACATAAAATTTTCAATTGATCCACCTATGAAGGATGCTGCTTATTCAGTGTTTATTGCAAAGTATCTCATGGCTTGAAGGTTGTTGTCGTCGGAGTATGCATTATAATTATATTCAAGCTTGTCTAATTATATGGGTGTTCACATTTTTAATGAATTGGGATGATCATGCCTAAGACAAAATTATGTACTAGAAATCAAAAGAGTTTAAAACTTATAAGAAGGTTGTCATATTGAAGTGGAAATAACTGACAATTAACCTAACTCACTTGGTTTACCTCTCAGCTTGGTGTTAATGTCCTCACATATTAACTTATAAGAAGTTGAAGGAGTCTCAACTAACTCTTAGTTTATTTTAGATGTTTCTATTTTCAAATTTTGGTTTGTTAAAATGAGTTAGCTTTTGATAATTAGTTTGTTATGCCATTTGAATTTTGGTAGTTAATTAATATGACTTATTAATAAATAAAGTTCATGTATGGTTTTTTGGTAATTAATATCACTCAGTAATGTTTAAACATAAGCCATTTTCTGGATTTGATAGTTATGTATGGCTTCTCGGTTGACTTCAAGCAAATTATAACAAATCTAGAGATTCCTTTTCTTATTATAAAAAAAAATGAAGGTTTGCTGTTCTTACCTTATTTCTTATCTTCCAATTTATTGAGCTGAAAATCATTTTAGCTTACTCAAATGCTCCTTGAATTTTACTTCTTTGACTGCCATCACATAATATGCAGAATTTAAGCTTTTAATGACATCAAACCTTTACGATAATAATTCATTTCTAATACTTTATTATGAGGTTGAATTTGTCTATATTTTTTCAAAAATCCTCATGAAAGCTTCTAATTTAACTTTGCTTATTGCAAAGCCTTGAAACTTTGTATGAGCTTGGTGGTAGTTTATCATAGTTTTCCTTTCTCCTTCTCGTCATTTTCTTTTGAATTTTGAACTTATGTTGCTCCTTTGATTCATATAATAAGTACATAATAAATAGGTTGTATATCATTTTATTCTTTTGCTCTTGTATTTGTCCTCCATTTTCAACCAGTTCTATATGCAAACCTAATAAGAAAACCATCACTTTTGCCAAGTCATAGAAGTGAGGAAATGATAAAACTAGCTAATACCATGTTGTCTCATTGTTTTAGGTTTACTATGATCCGCTAGAAATTTCAGTTTTGCAATAGTATCATTAGTTATGGACAATATGATAAATCTTCGAATTCTAGAATTTGCTACAATTTAACTACAATTTTAGTAACAGATTAGCTACGATTTTTATGGACTCAATTACGTTTTTGATATTAACCATGTGACATGTCACGTCAGCATCTTTGATCGCTGACATTGTTATGTGTCATGCCACATCATCTTTTGTTAACGTACGTTGATAGGAAAGACGAAAAATATGGACGAAAAATTTTAAGAGGACCATTTTTTTAAAAAAAATATTTAAAAAAATTAAAAACAAAATTGATAATATTTAGACACTAAAAATATATACCCTATAAAAAAAAGCTACAATCCACTCGTATAAATACACACAGAAACAAACGTATTAGTAGATATTAATATACAGTCTAGTCGATATAAAAAAAATACAATCTAGTCATTAATATTCACTAATACTACTAATAAGTATTAGTATTAGAATACTAGTAGTAATTAAGAATAAGATACTCAAAGGCAATCTAATAATAACTGCGCCTTAAGAATAAGATACAAATATCAACTCAACTCAGTCTGGTTCAACTCGCTACCAGCACTGATCTGTCTCCCAGTTCTGACAACTATATCCAGGAAATCTCCTCGCCGTCAGCGGTTGCCGACGCAGGAGCAAACTTCTATCATATCTCGCACGCTTCTCCGGATCCGACAGAGTCGAGTACGCAGCATGAATCTTCATGAACTCATCCGCCGAAGATTTCTTCCGACCAACCGCCGCCACATCAGGATGCGAAACTCTCGCGAGTCGCCGGTACGCTGCCTTAATATCCTGACCTGAAGCAGCAGCCGCAATTCCAAGAATCTCGTAAAGGGAACAGGAAGCCATGCCGCGGGGAAGCTGAGTAGATATAGCTTCTGTACTGGTGGAGGTGGCAGAAACGAAAACTCTCCGCGGTCTGACGTGGCACGGTTTTGATGAGATGGTTTTGCCAGAGAGAGCGCTGAGAGGTGAGGGGAAAGATATTGAGAGCATGATAGGTTGGAATACGACGTTGTTGTAATGAGTTGAAGAGGTTTGAGGATGAGGTGTTCATATATAGAAATGATGAGTAGTATGTGTTGGGTCCCAAAATAACTGTCTTGCGTTTTTCAAGATAAAAGAAAAACAATCTTATCCAAATAGCGTTGGATCTTTATTGTTGCTGAGTCACATCTTGTGGCTTATTGTAATGTCATAGTTCAAATAGTTGGAGATTTTGTTTATCTCATCTCTTACCGTAAATACATTCTACCGACTTGACATAATTCTTATATTTATGGAGTGGATCTACTAACATACCCCTTTCTTTTAAATGGTTTGACCCATATTTCAAATTAGACATGGCCGACAGTGAGATGGGTTTATAGTTTGATATTTATCTTCTTAGTGATTGGTTTCTTTGCAACAAGACATGCTTATCTATTGTCTATTATTGATAGACAAGTAAGATTATTTTTACGGTGAAGAAGTTATATTAGAAATCTCATTTTATTGGTTGATTAGAATATGAAAGTGAGTCGAAGAATGTTGTCTATTAGATTACAAATTTAAAGAGAAGAAAGAGATGTACCTGCAAGATATTACGACAATCAAGTAAGAATGAATGCAAAGAGATATAAGAAAGACATTAGAGTTTTTTAGAGCGAATATTTGATACCTGACCCTCAGAAGTGTGAGGGTTTATATAGTGCATCCAGCGCTTGGTCATTGGTTCTTATTTTTGGGCCTGGATACTAGGTTCCTCAAAAATAGGTAATTGTCAAGATTTAGTCAAAACAAACAGTCGTGCCCGTAACTAGTCGTTACACCGAGCAAGGAAGAGATAATGGGCACATGCGTTATGAGCGTTTTCCTGGTTGTCTGCTCTACATGCGTCGAGCAGACTGAGAGGTAGTTGCCCGTGTGGGCAGACGCGTGTCTTAGGCATCGTTGGTCTTGCTGCTCACAGGGCGTGGTCGACCAGGTATGTCTGACACGAGGTCCAGAGTTAATGGGCCAACGTTGTTGGACCATGTGGAAAGTAGAAGCGGATTGGGCCAATTCTAACTATTGGGCCAGTCCAGAATATGAGCCCCTAAGTCGTTGCTCATAGGCAATAGGAGTGATGATTTAGAGTTATCCCATGTGTCAAGGTGGAAAGGCTTTGGTATTCATCGCAAGAAACGAGGACGCTTAGGATGCGTTCGAGGACAGTCGTGTCGAGGGACCGGAACATGGTCTCTTGTGTTCGGCGCGTGGGGAGCCGAATGGTATATTGGATTCTAAGAGATAGCATGACATGCTTGCATCGAGCCATATGTTATCATAAATGAGTAATGATGGAAAGTCTAGAGACTAGGGCGTAATGATGATGATCCCTAGGTTTCCTTAGGCGCCTGCCCACTCACGTGCTAGTGAAGCTTCCTATAAATAGAAGAGAGGAAGCTTCATTTTCACTTTTTGCTTGCTTTCTTCTGTTCGTTTATGATAGTTTTGTAAAGCGCCACCGTTTATCGCTGAAGTTTTTTCCCGTTCCGTCGTTCTCAGCCAGAGTTTCTACTCGTTTCGTCTTCAATCCTCCTCGACCAAGTGAGTTCCTTGATTTTTCCCTGTTCCAATGAAATTTATCTCTATTCCCGTTGTTTGTTGGCGTTTGACGGTGGTTCTACATTATGAGGATGATGGCTCCTCCATGAATCCTTTGGTAATGTCTGACGTTAGGGCTGACAACAGCGAGTTGCGATGAGCTTTTGGGTCGTTTCTGGGTTTATGTGATGATCTTCATTGGTTTTTGTTGAACCCTTAAGTGAGGTTTAAGACCCAGTTGTCGAGGGAGATTATTCCATGTGCGGGTGCTGGCTAGGATTTTTACAAAGGGTTAAAATCCAACCAAAAGCCAAAAAGGTTCTTTGAGAACTTTGAATTATAGGAAGTCGACTATAGAAGCAGTCGACCGAGAGAGATTTCACAAATAGTCAATTGGGCTTGTGGATGCAGTCGACCAGAAAAGAGGTCTCACGGGGAGTGAATTGGGCCTAGGAATGTTAAAAAACCCAAAAGTGCATAACTAGCAAAGTAAAATGTTATGGATGGAGAATATGGGTTCGATAGCAGGAATGGAGAACGTGGGTTCGATAGCAAGGATGGAGAACATGGGTTCATGGAGGGAAGTTACAAGAGACACGTGACTTATAAAGAAGCGAAGCCCACTGAAAAGTAGTTATTTTTGTGTATTATAAATAAAGCACTTAGTGCATAGTATTAAGGGTTCAAACTTTCACATTCCTATACGTTAGTCACTCAGAGTACCCAAGAGAACGATAAAAATGAGTCAAGCTAGGGTAATGTGCATTTGAATCAACCCATTTTAAACTATTTTAATGTTATGTAATCTATTTTTACTGTTTAAAATGTCTTTTATTTTATTTTACAAGTCCTTTATTTCTTTTAAATTCGTTTCTCCTTAGTCGAACAAACTCTTTTGAACATACTTTGTGAAAGCACTCAAAAACTGAAGCACTGCATTGAAATTCCCTGGTCGATCTGGCCAATAAACTTTTTATTAAGAGATCAACGTTGTTTGCCAAAACCAGAGATGTAAACAAATTGGCATGTCCAGTGGGACAGAGCTAATAATTTCGTATTTTGTGTGTGATTTTAAAAAGTTTCTTATAGTTAGTTTGTGTGTGTATGAATTTAAGAAGTGGTAAACTTTTGTTCAAGTCTAGAATGCCACGCTTTAACACAAACACTGCACATATGCATATTTGTATACAAAATTTGGATGTCATAACAGTGAGTACCACAACTCAAAGCACAATAGTTTTATCTCCTGTGAGATCGAGCGTTGTTCATGGTTCAGTGGCAACAGTCACAATGACAGAACCCAGGCATGGGATATCACCATTTGACCCAAATCAACCACTCTTTCCCGGGGGTCCAGGGTCACCATTTGTCCCTTACCAATATGGTATGTCTTATCCCATGATGGTTGGGTTGTACTCAAACCCGACCACATATACAGAAAGCACAATGGCCACTAGAAACCAAGGCAGTTATGTCACAAGTGGTCGACCAGGTGGTGTTGGTTATGTCCCTTAGTCGACACCATTTTTGAGTACTACTTCTTTTATGGCTTTAAGGCAACATATGGATGAGATTAATTTATAGTTAGTACATGTCTTAACTCAACAAATGGGAGTTGCCCTCAATCTTATAGTTGACCAAATAAGTAGATTGATCGACTCATTAGAAGTCCAACCAACCCAAACGCGCCACAGGTTGTTAAGAGTTTTTGAAGAACTAGAGGGGGCAACAATGAGCATCCTTTTAGACCTCGAAAAGTGGAAGCACCCAGTTATGAAGAGGAAGAATTTATTGAACAATACGAACCTAGACCAGTCGTAGTTAGGAGAAACCAAGATGCTGATCGAGTGTTAAGGAATGCCACTGTTGGGCGTAACAACATAGTAAATATAGTAGAAGAAGTATTAACACGACCAGGGGTAAATGTTGGCCTTCAGAGGCCCAATTACTCTTCGCCATTTCCTGATTACATTCGACATGAAGAATTACCTAGGGGATGTAGGTACCTAAATTTACCAAGTTTGTTGGTGATGCCAATGAGTCGACCATTGAACACATTGCTAGGTACGAAACATAAGCTATGAATATCGCCAACGAAGAGGGTTTAAAATTAATATATTTTCCTAATTCATTGACCAAAAATGCTTTTACTTAGTTTACGACATTGACTCCAAATTTCATACACACTTGGGAACAACTTGAGGGTATATTTCATGAGAAATTTTATGATGGTCATCCTAAGATAAGTTTGAAAGAGTTATCCTTAATCAAGAGGAGGTCGTATGAGTCAATGGAAGATTATTTGAATAGGTTTAGGGTCCTAAAGTCTAGATGCTTCACTAGAGTTCCTGAACATGAGCGGGTTGAAATGGCCGCTGGGGGCTAGATTATTCTATTAGGAAAAAGTTTGATCCTTAATCTATTATAGATATGTCTCAACTAACTGATAAGGTTTGATATGTCGAACGTTTGAAAATAGAGAAAGCTTGAGTGTCAAAGGATCATAGAAAATGAAAAGTGGCCTATGTAGACACAGAAGATTATTCCATAGAGTCTGAGGATGAATACGTGGAAGAAAGAGAAGTTAATGTGGATGAATTAAAAGTCGGACCTCTGTATGCATGTAAACCTATAAGACCTTTAAAACAAAATACGGTCGAAGAACCAAAAAATGATATATTTAGTACTAAAACATATATTTTTTATGTGTCAAAATGTGACAAAATATTTGATTTTTTAGTTTCAGATGGTCAGATTATAGTGCCTTCAGGCAGTAAAAATCCACCATTAGAGCAGAAACAAAAAAGAGGTTTCTGCAAGTATCATAATTTTTTGGGTCATAATACTTTTCAATATTTTCTTTTCAGGGATTTGATTCAGAAGGCTCTGAAAGATGGTCGATTGAAATTTGGTGAAAAACCAAAAAGCTCCATGAAGGTCGACTCAGATCCTTTACATGTTGCTGACGTGCACTTTGTTGAACCATTGAAAGTGCTGATGATCTAGACTACTGATGGTATCGAAGGTGAACAGGCGGGCCTTATCGACTCACTCGCATCATTGACAATCAAGACCACTGATGGTTTTGAGAATGGATAAGTTGTGACCATTGATCCAATGGTAGCTGCAACAGTCGAGACTACTGAAGGTCTCAAAAGTGGCAATGACAATTTGTCTAAGCCACAAGAAGTGATGGTAGTTGATATTGCTAAAGAGCCTGAAGGTAATCAAGACGACAAGGAAAAAATGGATTGTGAAACTAAGAATGAAGAATTGTCTGAAGAAACAATTGTTGAATTAATGAAGGTTGTTTTTCTTAAACCTGGAGAGGAGTTGGTGGATTTTCTGAATAGGTGCAAGCTGGGTAATCCCAAGTCTATGTTATGCCCAAATTGTAACCTAGTCTATGGTGAAAATGCTATAAAGGA